TTAGAATAGGTTCCTGTTAGCAACTGGGGGGGGGGGGAATTAGAGAGGGTCGTCAGAGGTTGTGGGGCAATACATCGTTGGGATTTATGGCGAAGGGGTTAGGATTCCATACCTGAGCGGTCATTGACGGTGTCGTTAGAAGATCAGTCGCCGCCATAGCACAAAGCGTGGTCGTGCAGCATAGTGTTAGGTGGCTTACAGTGTAAGCACAACGCGAAGCGCACTCTCGTACGCCACACCGAAGCCAGGTACAGGATCAGCACGCGAGCGAGTGTGCTCGTGCGAAGAGAGAGTAGGGGAGGAGTAATGGCAGGAGGTGAGGGAGATAGTATCAGCGCATGCTAGCACGAATGTGATGTTGTGTGTGGTTATTCGCAGCTGTAAAGGCGGGCGCTTTTGAAGAGGAGGAACACGGTGACCAAACCAGGAGTATATGTCGTGGTATGCCATATTACATGCTAGTTGTATTGGGGGGGCATAGGTGTGGTAGGTTGGGGGTGGGGGTAATGGCTCCATCTTGGGGAGAAGAAAAATGTCGTGTATTTTTTGTAGGCTGGGGAGGGGGGGTAAGAAGGAAGTAGAGTTGTTTGGAGGGTGAAGCTGGGTTGCCTGCAGTATTAGCGATGTTGGGTTACCGTGTTTGTGTTCGTTTTGTCTTGTGTAAGTTCATGTAGCGGTATGAGTTTTTTCGTCGTATTCGGTAAGGGTAGGCTATGGAGAGGGCGAGGAGTGTCGGGTGTTTTCTGTCGTGTTCGTGTGCGGTTTTGTTTTTTTTTGTGTGTCAGATGTGTCGTTTCAGAGTGGTGCTTTTTCTTGTTGTCATTTTGGGTTCCGGCTATGGAGCTAACAGTGACTTTAAGATGGACACATTTGTGGTTTTTTCAGGGTTACCAATGGTCTGGGGGGCGGTCGTCTCCCCATACGTCCGGTACCCCCATTGTCCGGAATAACAATTTTGTTTTTCGAAAAAAAAAAAAATGTTTTTTTTTTCGGTTTTTGATTTGTAACTCATGAGTGGCTGCGAATTTGAACATGACTCTAGGGCAAAAGTTGCTTGTATTGTCATGTTACATAACATATATGTTTTTTAGATTTTTCTGAGAATTTGTGTTTTTTTGTTTTTTTTTGCGCTAGGTCGGACATACCCAGTTCGGTCGGACGTCCGACCAGACGTCCGGTCGGACATCCCGAACCGTCAGGGAGGTCCCGGACGTCCGATCCAACAACCTAGGGTTTTTTTTGTGTGCAAGTGTTTTGTTTATTCCACTTTTTTTTGTATCAGAACCATGTGTTCTCTTTGCGAACCGCGGGATCGTCCCATAGCCGTTATGCGAGGTGTTGCTATTGTGATATATAGATGTGGGGTTGTATTGCTAGTATTGTAAAGGTCTAGGGTATGTTGTTGTATTTTCGGTGTGGGAATTTGCTTGTAGTGGGTTATAAGGGGGTGTGGTGGGGCAGGTACTTTCTATTGTGATTGTTTAAAGAGTTTGTATTCATAGTTTATTATTACTTTTTCTATCCAACAGAAAAATTCCCATAAGAAATGAAAGTTGAAAAAACATTCAAAAAAAAAAAAATCATTCATATTTATAAATTATCATTCCAATGTTCGTCCAACTCTAAAATTTTCAATTTAATATGATAAGTTCCCGTCTAAATATGAGTTTTCCCTTCCAGTTACATCTACTTGGTCAAGATGGAATGAAAGTCAGGATGAGTTTATGAAATATTTTAATTTAGACTTTCATTCTACTACAGCAAATATCGTCTAATTTATATTGGATTAACCTATTTATGATTGAAAATCCTTACCTAAAATGGCAGTCCAATTAAAATATTTCATGAACTCATCCAGACTTTCATTCCATCTCTAGCATGCAGTTCAAATAAGAAGGGATACCCCATTCTTGGAAGGAAAGTTTTTAAGTAAGACGAAAAATTTTAAAATTGGAATGACATTTTTTAAGATGGAATGAAAAATTGGAATTTACAATGTAATTTAACCTTAGAACGATTATTTAATTGTGGGAATTTTTTCTGTTGTCATTTATTGAATATAAATTAAAAAAATATATATATATTTTTAACCCTTATTTAATGTTAATTAATTTTTAAATATTATTATTTTTTATCAGTTTAGCAGTTATCTTATTATGCTTATATCATCAATCTTAAGTCTTTTCATTTTAGTTATTCCCTGTTTTATGATTTTTGTATTATTATTTTAAAAAATTATTTTATTTATTATTATTTTTTTAACTATATATGCCTGTATATGTGAGAGACATAATAATGGGAAGACTTAAAAAGTGTGTGTGTGTGTGTGTCCCTCCCCGTTCCCTCGTAATGGGGGTCCGGGTGGGGTAGGTCACTATGTTTTTTATTGGATTTAGGACCTACCCCATCCGGGGTAGGCCCTCCATCCGAACCAAGCCAACATTTTTTTGGCTTGTACACACAAAAAAAAAAACCAGCATTTTTTTGGCTTGCACACACGTCCGCACTGAAAAGTCTGTGTCTAGAACAACCATTGAGGACTAAATTGTTTATTATTTGTATTAATTTTGTTGCTGCGTCTGTGGGTTCGGATTCAACTGTCATGATCGTAATGGTTTGCGATATTATTAAGTTAAGGGATTGCTACATGTGTCTGTTTGAATGGGCATGGATGGAAAAAAGGAAAGGAAAATTATTTTTAAGGAGGTGCG